GAAATATACTATCCACTTTAGCAGGGTAAATCTCCTGCAAATGCTCCGGCTGCCATCCCGCAAAGAATTGGATCACCGTGTTAAATCTCTGGATAAAGAAAATGAGAGAGAGTGAGAGAGAGAATCAAAGATCGTTTGGCGCCGGCAGCGGAAGGGAGGGACCGGGAAGCTGCCGTCAATGCGTCCGGGAGCCGGCGGAGAGGATGTTGGCAAGGAGGATTTGGTTCCATACGTCGGGCAGGCCCGGCAAGCACCAGTGGATGCAGTCGGCGTAGGCCGCCGGGTTGGCCTTCTGCTCCGCCGTCATCACCGCCCCCTGCCGCGTCGTGTGCACGGACGTGTGGGCGTCCTTGCGCAACTCCGACATGGCCGTGATGTCGACGAAGGTGACCGGCACCCGCGACGTTGATTCCGCCGCCTTCTTGGCTTGACGGAACATGCTCATGTCGGTGCCCAAGGATACTCCGGTCATGTTCGTCAGTGGTAGCGTCTCCTTTGCGCATTTGATTCCGTCAGCGTTGCCCCAATCCGAGCTCCTGTTATGTACGAGATGGTAGTAGTCAACAGCTCCATACATATATGCTAATATATTACAAATCCACGCATTATGCACATGTGGGGAGGAAAGGCTCATACCAAAAGTATTATTAAAAACAATAAAAATAATACATTATTTAATATGATCACATGAGGCAGGGAGACAAGTTTCAAGAGTTGGCAAATGGCTTAGTACGACAGATACCGGAGACAGCTGGGGGTAGCCTCTGCAAGTTGTTTGGGGGATGCTTGTAGTGGGCTGTGGGTTTGGAACGACTCATTGAACAGCTTGTGCGAAGACAAATTAAGACGTCGGATCCACCAAATGATATAAATAACTAGTTGCTAACTTGCTAGCCAGCAGTTTAACCCCGACGAATCTAAGGTGGGAGGGTGAGATCCACGTGTTACATGTTTTTTTTTTGTGGTTTTGTCAGATTACTCGATGCCCAATTCTAACGAGGAACATTGAACTATTGGCGTGGTTGCAGCACTTACAAATTACATCTCAGTTCTTCCGAGCTTCGAGAGGTGAGGACAAAAATGCAACTCACCTCGAATGAAGAGGAGACATGCTCATGTAGAACACTAACGTGCGCTTTGGATCTACGTTCTCGTCCAGCCATTTTGACCAAGTCCTCAGAACTCTCTCGTATGCTTGCGGCCTCGAAATCTCCTCATACTCTGTCCAATCTCTTGCCGAGGGTCTCCTGCTACCACAAAAACTCCATTACTGGTCCTACGGTAATCCAGCATCAACGAAACTCCCTTGTCACAGAAATTACTACTCACGAGACTTTGATTTTCTCTGTGTTCATCCACCAAATGTAGGTGTTGAAGACCAGGTAGTCCACCTCCTTCCACTGCACCGCGTGCTTCTCTATCGAATCCGCCTTGATAATCCGGTCCACAATGCTGTGAATGCGCGGATCGTCGGAGTTCGACTCCACCAGGAATGGCGCCCAGTAGAACTCGACCGTAGCGTTGTACTCCTGCAAGAAATTTGAGATCGGAACATTTGTGCCACTGCCATGCACGAACATGGATGAAGCACACATATATATCTCCATGCTCCGGTACCTCTGCAATGAAGATGATACGTGAGCCGTCCCTTTTACGACCATTCTTGCCCGGTGGAGCGGCCGACTGCATCATGCACACCATGGACTCCCACTGGTTCCGATTCAGGGAGTCTCCGACGAACATTAGTCGCTTACCTCGCAGCCTCTCCAGCGGTAACCTCGCGTCAAACCTTGAACACAGATTCCAAACTTAGTTCATGAGCAACTGGGTAGAAGACCTGCGTGACGTTTGGATCATCAGTCGAACGGAAGGCACTACGCACTTGGGCAAGGTGCAGTCCTTAGGCTGCCACCTCCACTTCTGGTACATGTCTTCCTTCCGGCCGTTCTTCAAACACGCCACCTGTGCCGAGAGGAACTCGCACTGGTCCTCGCGGTAGAGCGGGTAGTTCACGTCGTCGTAGACCCAGTCGCCACGCGAGAGATCGCATGTATCCGGCACCGTAACAATCGGCTCATCTCCGATGATGAACGGCGGTGTGATGCCATGGCCGGCTTCCCTGGCCACCGTCACGTTAGTGACAGAGGTAGCTGCGTTGTCCACGGTGATGGGCAATTCTTGGACTTTTGGGGCCTTAGATCCGTCCTTACCCTCCTCCTGCTCTTGCTGCTGCTGCTGATTCGTTGTCTTAGTCTTGGGCAGGTTGGATTGGGAGTATTTGTGGGTAGCAGGTTGGCCTTGGTGTTCCACGACAGAGCTGGAGATCAGGATCTCATCAGGGGAAGCCTCGTCCGTCTTGCGTGGAAAGAGGGAGTGTCGGGCGAGGGACTCGATGTCCTCAACGTACATGAGAAAGGCAAAGACGACGATGGTTAGGACGACGACGAGGACCGGGAGGTTGCCGCGTTTCCTGACGTAGGATCCGACATGCTTCACGACCGGCGGTGGGTCCGAGGCACCGAACGCAGGCTTCCGGCGGAGGGAATGCATGATGGTGGATGCTGTGGCTGTGGTTGTCTATGGCTTGATGAAGAGGAATCGGGCTATTTAACTGATAAGAAGAGGCGATTTGTTTACAGGATTATTGTGGCCGTGGTTGCCTGTGGTTAGGTGCCTAATTATCTGTTTCTCTGTCACGGAGCTTGTCGTCTTCATATTAATTTTATGCAGACCGGAGACGGAAGTAACATGTTTTCCTGGATCCGTGCGACAGAGAACAGTAACGGGAGGTCAATTATATATCGACATGAAGAGAGCAAGACCGCAGGTATCATTTATATGGTAATAAGAATGCCGGAAAAAGGTACCTTGGAAGTGTCGAACAGTAACTCGGTGTTGTGTATCTTTTTTTCTCTTCTCCTTTCCTGTTTGCATGCAGAGGTGCATGAGGTGTAATTTCTTTTTTCGTAGTGAAGATTCGTAAGAGGTGATACGCTGCTCTGAAGTTTAAGAGAAGAGAGTGCAAGTTTTACGTTCTGGAAATTTTGATTTGCTTCGTAAGGAAGCCGATGGAAAGAAGAGGATAATATTATGGTAGATGCAATGTTGTAGACGTGAACTCCCGTTGCTCTAGATTTTGGGAATGTTGGAATGTAACATCAATTGTATAGTCGGAGATGAGATGGGTCACGAGTCTTTTGTTCGTTTAGGACGACGGTGGAATACTCCCATCGCTAGATCTCGTCGCGTTTCGATCGAATTCTTGTTTCATGGCTCTTGCTTTCTCAGGGACCGCAACAAGGTGTCTCTTCCTGGGTGGAGCCTTGCCTTTCCGTTGCTCTCTTCCTCGTAGTTCTCTGCCGAGCAATTTGGTGGATAGAGCATTGAATCGATGACTCGAGTTGACACATCATAAATTCAATCACACTCGAGGAAGAAGAGGAAAGAAATCAAAAGAAATTAAGAAGAACAAGACGATTTTGTCAATCCATAATGACTCACAGCCATAAGAAACAAGAAGAAATAGATAAGCTAGATGATGGGATACATGTTCCAAGAATTTTACTGAATACACTCACGATATCAAGCATGGAATAATAAACGGATTCACTAAATAGCCTCAGTCAAACCAAGATTCATGATACTTTTATTTGAATGAATTGGCATGCAAAGAGAGAGAGAGAGAGAGAGAGTATTACTTGTTAAAAATTTCTTATCATCATGGTAGACTAAACATACGATCTGTTTGGTACAAAGTACATAAACATGCATAGTCCTATTGCACTGATGCTATTATATATAGTCGATTACACTAATGCTATTACTTGTCAATTTAAGCACATGACAGGCTTTCAGCCCAAGATTCATTCTAGAGTTCATTATTTGGGTCTCAACCCCTATCATCACATCAGGTTTGATGATGATTGACTAAGTCTATACTCCAAAATTACTTGGACTTTTGGTAAGATATAAATGGCCTCCAGTTGGTAAATCCACTCTACTTTGTTTTCTCCTCCATCCGACAATATGCGTGGAAGGGAGCTAATCACAGCAAGAGTTTAACATTGCATGTCGGCACGCAGACAGATGGAGTGCGAGCACATGTAGTATCGTCTGTAAAGAACACAGCGTCGCCCGTGAGTGGGAAACTACTGATGTCGGAGAAGAAAGTGAACCTAAAATGCCGCGTGGGCCGTTCCTTCCTGGGAAAGGAGGACTCCGTGGTACCATCCATCCATCATCATGCGGATTACCAAAACACGCGACAGATCACTGAATCGCCAAGGAATCCTCAGTTTGTGTCGAAACACATATATCTTATCGCCCGTGTCTCGTAGTTTCCGCAGAACGGATTATGTGAAATCATCCAGAATTAGATCCTACGATCGATGCAAGTCAAATGGCATGGCGATAAGAAGTTTGGGGGGATGGGTAGGTCCACACGGCGACAAGAAGAAGAAGAAGAAGAAGAAGAAGCCTGTTTTCTCGTATGTGCATGCGAAAATAAACGGTTGCTTTCCTGTGCCAAACAACGAGCCGCCTCTTCACCTACATTTTGACGAAACCCTGTGCGTTTAGGTCGGCAGTCACTTCCCTCTGACAGGGACTAGGAAACGCCTCAGCCCTCCGCCGTCGCAAAACCATATGCTTTATTTATTAATGCAAATAGAGCTCGATGCTTATTGTTCTAACAAACAAATTTTAATTAATCAAAGCATTCTTCCCTCCCTTTCTATGACCGATGACATATTAATGTCAAAACTAGTAGGTACATCAGCTGACTCCTTGGCACCAGAAATGTCTAACCCAATCAGCAGGGGATTCTTCCAGCATTAAGAGTATGAGTAGAAATTGCATGGGTGGTCAATTAGTGACCATATTTTAAAGATCGATACACTCACTCCATCTGAAAACTTCAGAAAAGAAAATATTTTCCATGTGGGAGGCCACTAAATTACGGTCAGCTTTCTCACTAAATTACTTGGATTAGCCTGTCTTCTCGATTCCCTCCCTGTCCTTTATATGTTCTCACTGGTTCATGACGCTCTCACCATTCTCTTTCTCTTATCCATGGACGCGAGTAACACCTTCTGCCGTTCGACTTCCTCTCCTTTCCCTTCTACCTCCCCTCTGCCCAAACCGCCGATCCATCATCCCGTCGTCCACAGCCCTTGTGCAGCTTGCAAGATCCTCCGCCGGCGATGCTCCGGTGGCTGCGTGCTCGCGCCTTATTTTCCTCCCACCGAACCTCTCGAGTTCACCACCGCACATCGAGTGTTCGGCGCCAGCAACATCATCAAATTCTTGCAAGTAATTAATCCTCTTCGTTAGCTTTTCGTGCATTCCGCCTCTTGAGCTAGATACCATGTCCAACTCTAGCCGTACACGCCCATTCCAATCCGGTTAATGATTCGATCGATTGTATCATGACACTACAGGAGCTTCCGGAGATCCAGAGAGCAGATGCTGCGAGCAGCCTGGTGTACGAGGCCAACGCGCGCGCCAGGGATCCCGTGTACGGGAGCGCTGGAATCATCTACCAGCTCCAGAGACAAGCGGAGGGGCTGCAGTCCCAACTGGCACGGGTGCGGGCCGAGCTGGCGGCCATGCAGGCACAGCATGAAAACCTCATATCCATCCTCTCCGTGAAACCGTGGCCATTTCCCGCTGGCTTCGAGGAACACTACAGTCCTTACATGTATCGTGGTGGTTTTTCTTCCTTAGACGAGTACAGCCAGGCCTCCATGTGGGAGGAATCCCTGTGGGCATGAAGGGCGGGGGAGGCCTTGTGATTTCCTTGCTGCTTCTGCGTAGACTTTGGTGTGATTCCTTTCTCCAAGGAAGAAGAATTCCGTCCTTTCTCGAAAGACGACTCTGGTGTCTCATCTTGGTCTTTGACTTTCTTCTGTACCTTTCATGCCGGCAAGGGGATGATAAAATTCATCTCGTCTCTTCTTCTCGAGAAGAGTACGCGGTGATTGTGTGAATTAATCACGGTTGGATCTCTAAAACATTTTGTGAAAAATGCAGATGACGAGACCAACTTCGGTTCATTGCTACCCACTCCATTGAAAATTTAAAAGTATGCATGTCCGACAAACTCCATACTATCTTACTATTCGTATCCAACGAATCTTCGCTGATGGTTAGGATAATCTTTACCTTAGTATTCTTGAAAAAAAAATTTAGTGTCTAAGATGAGGAAAGTAATTTTAAGATGATAATTTTATAAATATTTCAACTCTTCCTGCAAATTTATTTATAGTAATATCAGACTATTCTTAGATTATTTCATAAATATTATTATTAAACGCTTTGAGAATTTTCCTTGATGATGGGGATCTTAACAGGTTAACAAGACATTGAGAGCCTACGCTACCCCTCTCCCATGGTCGTCGATTGGAGCGTGATCCCGAAAAGGTCACATGAGTCAATCATCGATACACGACAACTATGCTCCTCCTTATTTTCCCCTCGATTGGATCGTCTATCGTTAGCGACCCATCGCTCTCAACCATGATTTCGGAAAGACTTGCATGCTTGATCGCAAGAAACATTAATCATAGACGGTGTGGCCCAGCTTTCCTCTTTGGGCGCCTAACACCAAGTCTCATCAACATAAATGAGCCTCCTGATGATGTGGGGGGTTCCGGGGGGACGAGCGATCGATCATCCTCCATCGATCGATTAAGTATATAAGGCAAGGTCATTACTGTGACCATTACTTTACTAATTTTACCATCGGAAGGGTTGGGTCGGAAATATCCCTCAATGCTGACCGCTTGTGCAAGGACTTTGGTGGGAGTATAGACGTACCTTACAGCAACACTTAACCTGCTCCAAGTGAACAAGAAGCATCTTGGGTCAATGCTAACTAAATCCTCTTCCTACTCTTCCACCATCCCCACGTACCCTCTCGAAGACCTCCGGGAAGATTTTATGTCTTTGGGATTAGACCAAACCGGAATATCCCCATCGATCGACGACATCCACACATTAACACTTTTCTTATCTTTTATGATAAAAAAAGGTAATCACAAATTTTCTTCTTGTTATTTATGATGAAAAAGGAATAGTAGATTTCATTCTCATCATTTATAACGAGAAAACAATCATAAACTTCATTCGTACTATTTATGATCTCACCTTTTAAAATATAGAAAGACGGAAAGAACTTTTTTGACTATTCGCATCTACACTTTTATACCTTGAATTATTAATTTAAATTTTGGAAGGATAAAGTTAAAATTATTTTTTCGATCTCCATCTTTATACAGGTAACACATAAGAAACTCAATGTTTTCAGCTTAAATAGTCCTACGCTTATAACGTTGGATTGATTAAAACGTTAATAATATTTTTTTCTCTGACTTCAAACCTCGTGAGAAATGGCAAAGAGCCTTCTCTCGATTTTTAGTGTTTAAGAAATGGCAAACGCCGTGGAATTGCTATTCCAACCCACGACCGTGACTTCAATAACAGACCCCGAGGGATTCTGACCATTGCTTGAGATATTGACGGCTGCGATCGTCTGCCCCCCAGACCCCGTAGAAAACCAGCTGTGGTCAACGCCAAACCTCCATTTCTAGTGTAATTTATCCTCAAATATCTCCCCTTTATACCGCCCCTGCAGCGTTTGTTTTGTTCACCGACAGACCCACAAACCATCATCACGGATCCGACGTCGGTTTCTTTCTCTAAATTGTTCCTCTGTCACAACATACCTCACAAAGACCCCTCAACTCCGTCTTCCACCTCGCCCAGAGACTCCCACCACCACCATCTTGACCACCCGCGCCGGAGCCATCGTTCACCATCCCCTGATCCGTCGCCGCCTCCTCCTCCATCGTCCGCGCGATCCACAGCCGTCGACTCCCCGTCGGAACGTATAATTTTTGTTGCCATGGCCGGATCCCTCCGTCTTCCTTTTTTCCGGTTCCACTTCCTCCTCCTCCTCCTTGCTTTGATCTATCCTTCCAAGGCGGAGATCAAGACCCTAGATATTTCCAGCGACTCCCGCCAGATCATCCTCTTCGAGAAGTTCGGGTTCAACCAGCGCGGCACCGTCTCAATTTCTCTCTCGGGCGTCTCCTCTTCCTCATCCTCCGCGGCCGCCCCTACAGTCGACCCTTCCCTCCTTGGATTCTTCCTCATCTCCGATGAGAGCCTCATCCAGGCCGCCTACTACTCGCAGCAGAACCCTAACCCTAGCTCGTACCCCGACTGTGTCCTCATGAGCCCATACGTCCACGTCCTCTTCAACTTCAGAGATCTCTCCCCTCCGCTGCCCGCCGGCGCTTATAACCACTCTTTCAATGTCACCCAGCCAGATGAGTACAGCCTCTACTTCGCAAATTGCGCCTCTGATGCCGCCGCAGTCTCCATGTCGGTCCGCACCGAGATGTACAACGCCCGCTCTGATGGCTCGCCCGACTACCTTTCCGTGGGCCAGTCCCCCGTGCCCTCTCTCTACACCTTTTTCGCGGTCGCCTATGCCGTCTTCCTCGGCCTGTGGATCTACCTCACCCTGTTCCAGGACCGGCTCTCCGCACACCGGATCCACCATCTGATGTCCGGGCTTCTGCTCACCAAGGCCCTCTACCTCGTCTTCGCCGCCGAAGACCAGCACTACATCCGGAAGACCGGCACCCCGCACGGGTGGGACGTCCCCTTCTACCTCTTCCAGTTCCTGAAAGGCGTTCTCCTGTTCACTGTTATCGTCCTCATTGGCACCGGGTGGTCCTTCCTCAAGCCCTTCCTCCAAGAGCGTGAGAAGAAGGTGCTGATGATCGTGATCCCGCTCCAGATAATAGCTAACATTGCTTCCGTCGTGATCGGCGAGACTGGGCCATTCATTAAGGACTGGGTCACATGGAATCAGGTGTTCCTCCTCATCGACATCATCTGCTGCTGCGCCGTCCTGTTTCCGATCATCTGGTCCATCAGATCTCTGCGGGAGACATCGAAGACCGATGGGAAGGCTGCGAGGAACCTCAAGAAGCTCACACTTTTCCGACAGTTTTACATCATTGTGATTGGATATCTGTACTTCACGAGGATTGTTGTGTATGCATTGAAGACGATAGCATCGTACAAGTACCGCTGGGTGAGTGTGGCAGCTGAGGAGACTGTGAGCCTTTTGTTCTATATATTCATGTTCAATATGTTTCGGCCGGCAGAGAGGAACCAGTACTTTGTGCTCGATGAAGAAGAAGAAGAAGCTGCAGAATTGGCACTTCGTGAGGAAGAGTTTGAGCTTTGATGGACATTGAGAAGGAGGTGAACTTATGTGGGAACTTCCTGGTGCGATCTTCACAGTGATTTCATATTCTTGCTATAGGATTAAAAAAAGGTTATAATGTATTGTACTCTATTTTGGTTTGATTGGCACTTTGATAATCTCTGAACGCTCTCTTTTGCTTTGACTTGATCTGTCATGGAGCTTAAGTATAAAGTCTTCTATGTTTGAGGCTTTATAGTATGGATTACATGGACAAATCAAGAATATTTAGATGGAATTTTAAATTTCCAATCGCATGTGTGTTCTTTTCTCTCATATATTTATTTCTTTAAATAGAAATATTTAGAGGAACAATATAAAATAACTCTTGTTTTTTAAGATAGTCTATATTGTAGTACTTGGCTAATTTACTTGACGAGGGCTATGGGATAGATTGATTATGGTAAGTGAACTGTAAGAATATAGAGTTTGTTGATGCAGAGGGTAGGAGTTCTTATGACACATCTTAGTCTTTGGACAATTTAGATCACTTTAAAAGATTCAGATTCCTAATTTAGATATCTTTTCTATTGAATCTAAGGTGCAAGGATCCATCTTGGTCTTCTGACATGGGGCTTAGTTGCTCCCTCTCTTTTGAATATTATACACATGATTATGTTTTGATGCTTTGGAATAAAAGTGGTTGTTAAAGATTTGTTGAAGCCCACAATATCTCTTTCAATGGTTACTCTTTTCTTATGCATCATGGATAATCTGTTTAGTACTGATGGGGATTGTGGTGAAGGAGGATGGTAAAATCCTTACAGGAGACTTGATGGGTGAAAATTTGAGCTCAAACAATGATATGACTAGAATAAGATTATTGAAACTCTTCTTTGTACTTGCTTTTCCATTTATTAATGTCTTTCATACTGAAGTTCAATTGACGTTTTTTTTCTGTTGATTCATTGGCATAATGGTTTGTTGATTTTGCAATCTTTTTTCTTTATATCCTAAATATATATGTAGTGATCCTTATTGTCCACAGGGCATGTATATATAACCGAACAAGAAAATTTTTGTTCTTTAACCTTTGCTACGAGGGAACTTTTAAAATTCTTTACTAGAGGGAAATTTCCAAGCTAAAGGACCAAGATTAGCCAAACTTTTTGTTGAGCAAGTGATTGTCAAAAAAAAAAGGAAATGAGATTGTGGAACGCAATTTATTTATTTATTTGTTGGTCTCTTCTGATGCATAGAAGTTTTGGTATGCTTTTCCTTCTCTTTGTTGTGAATCTGTTGATAAATTTTCATTTTTTATCGTAAGCAACTCTCTTCAAAGCTTAGCAGAATGTCCTCGGAGAAAAAAAATGCAAAGGTTATGAACTAACTAGTAGACACTGAGAGAAGAAGGCATAAAAGTCCATGAATTGTATGTGCACTTGATAGTAATGTCATCCTTCTAATTTCATATTCTTCTTCTTTTTCGGTACTAAATGTTGCGGAACCAAGCAGAAGACATTAACAAAGCAGAGTAGGATAACAATTACTGTTGGTCAACAAAGTTGTACTTCATTTAAATTTATCGAAGATGAGTCCGATGATCTTCGTTCGATACTAATCTATTGGTTCGCTCAGATTCTAAGT